CTTGCTGCTCTATGCTTGTATTTCATTTACAGAATTGAAAATAGTCCTTCTGCTAGCTGTCTGTGCGTCATGCTATTAAATTGTAAGCAACCCTGTAGAATGTTGGGGTGCATGTTGTGCCTAAGTTGTGGCAGTTTTGCATGTATTTTAAAAATGATAGTTGCTGTTTCTTATAATTATCCAATAGCCTTTTTGTAAGGCACTGACCTTAGACACCTGTACAGTTCTGGAGTTTTGACTTTAAGGATAATAGGTCCAATTCACAAAGATCAGTGTTATGAGAGTAGAAGTTAATTCATCTTATTTTACTACTTTTTATTTTGTTTGATGAAACATGCAGTTTACAAAAAATCTGGAATTGTTATTGCATACTCAGCTTACTGTGTCATATGTGTATATAAACTGGTGTTATTTAAACCTCACATACTTTATTTGATCTATTACTGTGAAAAAAATGAGGTTTTATTACAGTAATAGATCAAATAAAGTATTGAGGCTGAGAGTATTTTTTCTAACATTTTTGCAGTGTATTTTAGTAGCAGAAGTGGTGAAGCAAATACCATTTTGATTTCTGTCCTACTTACACTTTTACCACGTTTAAGTACACTATATTGCCAAAAGTATTGGGACACCCCTCCAAATCATTGGATTCAGGCGTTCCAATGGCCACAGATTATAAAAAATCAAGTACCAACGCATGCAGACTGCTTCTACAAACATTTGTGAAAGAATGGGTTGCTCTCGGGAGCTTAGTGAATTCAAGCTTGGTACCGTGATAGGTTGCCACCTGTGCAATAAGTCCATCTGTGAAATTTCCCTGCTACTAAATATTCCACAGTCAACTGTTAGGGGTATTATAACAAAGTGGAAGCAACTGGGAACAACAGCTACTGAGCCACGAAGTGGTAGGCCACGTAAAATGAAAGAGTGGGGTCAGTGCATGCTGAAGCGCACAATGCTCAGAAGTCACCAACTGTCTGCAGAGTCAATAGCTAAAGACCTCCAAAGTTCATGTGGCCTTCAGATTAGCACAACAACTGTGCATAGAGAGCTTCATGGTATGGATTTCCATAGCTGAGCAGAATGCATTGTGCCAAGTGTAAAGTTTGGTGGAGGGGGGATTATGGTGTGGGGTAGCTTTTCAGGGGCTGGGCTTGGCCCCTTAGTTCCAGTGAAGGGAACTCTTAGGTGTCAGCATACCAAGATATTATGGACAATTTCATATTCCCAATTTTGTGGGACCAGTTTGGAGATGGCCCCTTCCTGTTCCAACATGCACCAATGCACAAAGCAAGGTCCATAAAGACATGGATGAGCGAGTTTGGGGTGGAGGACTGACCTGCACAGAGTCCTGACTTCAACCCGATAGAACACCTTTGGGATGAATTAGAACAGAGACTGCGAGCCAGGCCTTCTCGTCCGACATAAATGCCTGACCTCACAAATGCGCTTCTGGAAGAATGGTCAAACATTACCATAGACAGACTCCTAAACCTTGTGGATAGCCTTCCCAGAAGAGTTGAATCTGTTATAGCTACAAAAGGGTGGGCCAACTCAATATTGAACCCTACGGACTAAGACTGGCATGCCATTAAAGTTTATGCGCATGTAAAGGCAGGCGTCCCAATACTTTTGGCAATATAGTGTATATAAAGATTTCACATATAAGAAATCTCTTTGCCACCTGCATACTAATTTAAACTTAGGTTCAAAGGACTGATTTCTGAAATAGCACTATCAGTTTTTCCAAGCAGAGCGAGTATCTGAAATATTAGATTAAAGTGATTGATTGTAAATCCACACCTTGTAAAACATCCCATTCAGTTTAAAATGGAAATGAAAGGCAAAGCATTTATGTATACATATAAAAAATATAAAAAATAATTTTACAAGTAACCACATACCCTCTGTTCTCTGCTGCATAAGAACTAGGGGAAGAGATACAGCGGTACACCGGTCTTCCCAGTGAAAGGCTGTACAAGGGGAGTGTGTTCGAAGTCTGATAATTGGAGGTGAGCACAATAAGTTACCAGCACAGCTAAAGAACTGACCATTCTGTGCTCTCATACCTAGTATGGTACAACAGCCACATAACAGGTATATGAAATGTTGGGTTTACGTATTCTTTCTCTTTCAATCTTTTTATTGTCTTTTAACAAGAGAAATACAAAAGTCAAGCATGTGAATAGCCCATGCAAGGTTCCCTTCCTCTAGAAGGCACATGTACAGTCCCGTCTGAAGTCTGCCAATGAACATCTAATTGATTCAGAGAAGAACTGGGAGAAAGTTTTGTGGTCAGATGAGACCAAAATTGAGCTCTTTGGCATTAACTCAACTCCCTGTGTTTGGAGGAAGAAAAATGCTGAATATGACCCTAAGAACACCATCCCTACAGTCAAGCACCGAGGTGGAAACATTATGCTTTGGGGCTGGTTTTCTGCTAAAGGTACAGGCCAATTTTGCCGCATTGAGGGGCCAAAGGACAGAGCCATGTATTGTAAAATCTTGGATGAGAACCTTCTTCCCTCAGCCAGAACACTGAAGACAGGTCGTGAATAGGTCTTCCAGTATGACAATGACACAAAACATAACACCAAGGCAACAAAGGAGTGGCTCAAGAAGAAGCACATTAAGGTCATGCAGTGGCCTAGACAGTCTTTAATCCCATACAAAATTTATGGAGGGAGCTGGAACTTGCCAAATGTCAGCCAAGAAACCTTAAGGATTTAGAGAAGATTTGTAAAGAAGAATGAACCAAAATCTCTTCTGAGATGTGTGCAAACCTACAGGAACCATCTTACCTCTGTGCCTGCCAACAATGCTTTCTCCACCAAGTACTAAGTCATGTTTCTTTTGGGAATCAAATACTTATTTTACTCATTGAACTGCAACTCAATTTATAACATTTGTATCATGTGTTTTTTCTGTATTTTTGGTTGATATTCTGTTTCTATCATTTAAAACACACCTATGATAAAAATTATAGACACTTTATTTCTTTGTCAATGCGCAAACTTACAAAATCTGCAGCGGATCAAATAATTATTTTCCCTACTGTGTGAGATTCAAGGTTCCCAGACCTTAAGAAATTTAGCGTGGAGTCAATCCGAATACTAGACATTTGTTCGTGCAGCATCATAATGGTCCATCTTGCTTTAACCCCCAGGAAGGCCACCCACTGGGTCTTCCAGGCTTGCACTATAGTCCTTTTAGCTGAAATAATAAGATATGTGGCCAATTTCTGTTGTGTAGCCTGGAGGAGGGGAGCGGTGTCACTTAGCCCCCCCTTCCGAGGCGACTTCAGCACCCAGGCCTGGTGGGGCCTGCCGCGGCCTACCACAGCACACTCCCCCTGAAATCCATCCAGCAGTGAGCCTGCAGCCTGCAGCCCTAAAGGACCATCATAATTTGAATGTTTTGAAGCCAGAGACAGCCAGGAAACTGGTGTTTTTTTTAAAAGAGGTCAGCAATGGCAACCCATTGGCACTGCAACACTGATGACCAATGGGCAAATATCTCCCTAAAATCAGGCAGACACATTTGGGGCTGCATTGGGCCATTTAATTTCAGCCATTTTGTGCAAATCTAGTTTGGACAACTACTGTGCTATACATTTCAAGCCAAGAAAACAAGTTTTATATCCTGCAACATCTGAGCAAAGATCAGCATTAAATGTAAACTGATTAAAAGCACTGAACTAAGCTAAGATATATCTTTTTCAGTTGAGGTCTAAAATTTAAGTAAGAAATAAATGGGCAAAAATATTTTTTTCTCTTTTAGCACAATTTTCTTTAACTTCCATTTTTACTAAGAGTAATATGCTCACAATTTTGACCTTGAGGTCACTGGAACATAATAATGTGTTAATAGAGGGATCTGTGTAGAAATTGCAAACTTTATAGACCTAATGTTGGCTAATAAGTTACGAGACATTGGTATTCCAGTTGCAAGCTTTACAGCTTACAACACATATAATCAGATTCACTCTCATAAGGTAATGTAACAGGAGACTCTGCAATGCCAAGGAAAGATTAAGCTTTAGTGGTCAAAATCAATATTACTATCCCATATTGTGGTTAGGCCATTAGTGCATAACAGTAGAGTGGGCAAAAGAGAGGTAAAAGGCCCACTCCATTAGTCATGATTGGAAAACTGGAGAATCAGAAAGAAAGGGAAAGAAGAAGTGGAGCCAAAAAAAGAGAAAAAGAGAGAAGGAAGAGGGTGGCAGGACCTGATGCAGGAGAAAAGAAGGGGAGGATAAGGACAGAAGGAGGAAAAAGAAGAGAGGGGATTAGGGGGAAAGAAGTGGGTACCCCAGAGGCCGCCATGGTAAGTTGTTTATTTGTAATAGGTCCCTTCAACAGGTCCAGTAGATGCATGGTGACTCAGATTTTGAGGAACTTTTGCTGTGTATCATTTAAAATAGCTATTAGCTTCTCACTGATAAGTGTGCCCTATATGTTGCCTTTAACTTTAGTAAGATTATGGGGGGGATTTTTTTGCACCTGAGCAATAGTTTGTTTTGTTGCTATAAAAATATGGAAAATAAGTTCACATTCACGACACAATAGGTTTTCAACAGGTTTAAGCAAAAGAGCCCCACAAGTCTTTACAAAGGTGACTTGAAGAATTGTATTGATCATTATTTATACCCGAACCCTTTAGCACACTTTCCATGCATCTGCTTCATAGAATATAACCAAATACTAGAGATCTAACATGTCTGTAATTTGTTTACACAGTGTAGTAGTAATTTCAGAGTCTAACATATATGTTTTTGTGATCACAAGTGCTCAAATGATGTTGCTTGAATGGCATATTCATACCGAGGATTTGGTTTCTGAATTGTACTTACTCAAGTTACTGCTTGCAATTCCTGGAAACAATTAACATTCTAGAAAGTTTAAATAGATGTAGTTTACATATGTGTATCAAAAATAATATTGTGGTACCTTCCTAACATGCCCCTGTTTTTGTTACAGTAACTCCATCCTAATGCTATGTGGCTTCCTCTGCTAGTGGTGTTGAGTCTGATCTTCATATACAGGTGGTATAGACAGAGTCAGATACTGGAGGATCTTTCAGATAAATATGTCTTTATTACTGGATGTGACACTGGATTTGGCAACCTGTTGGCAAAACAGCTGGACAGTCAGGGAATGAATGTTCTGGCTGCTTGTTTGACGGAGAAGGGGGCACAGAACCTAAAGAAAGAGGCCTCTGGTAGACTTCAAACAGTAATACTGGATGTCACCGACAGTCAAAGTGTCAACTCTGCTGCCAAGTGGGTTTCCACTATTGTTAAAGAAAAAGGTGGTAAGTGCGTTTCCAGCATTTCTATTTTTATTGTGCATATTTTTCTTATCCGCTCTATTTAATTGTGCACATACAGTGCTCAGCTTAAATGAGTACACCCCTTTTGAAAAGTAAGATTTTGTTCAATATCTCAATGCACACAAGAACAATTTCCAACATTTTTACAAAATTGAGTTTTATAGAACATTTGTTTAGCTCATTACATGAAAGTAAGGTTAATAATATAACTTAGATTACATAATCTTCAGTTTTAATCAAATTAGTTGATGAAAAAATTAATACACCCCACAACAAATACTACTACATCTAGTATTTTGTATGAACTCCATGATTTGTAAGGACAGCACCAAGTCTTCTAGGCATGGAATGAACAAGTTGGCAACATATTAAAAGCAGCATCTATTTTTTTCTATTCTTCAAGAACGACCTCTTTCAGAGTCTGGATGCTGGATGGAGAGTGATGCTCAACTTGTCTCCTCAGAATTCCCCATAGGTGTTTGATTGGGTTCATATCAGGAGACAAATAGTACTTGGCCACTGACTCACTTTCACCCTGTTCTTCTTCAGAAATGCAACCGTGGCCTTAGATGTGTGTTTGGATCATTGTCATGTTGAAAAAGTGCATGACGACCAATGGCACGGAGCGATTGTAACATCTTCTCTTTCAATATAGAGCTATTCGTCTGTGAATTCATGATGCCACCAATGAAATGCATCTCCCCGACACCAGCAGCACTCATGCAGCCCTACAGAAGAATACTGCCACCACCATGTTTCATTGTAGGCACCATGCATTTTTCTTTGTACTCCTCACCTTTGCGACACCATACAGTTTTGAAGCCATCAGTCCCAAAAAACATTTATCTTGGTCACATCACTCCAGAGCACAGAGCATCACGATAGAGACCCCACATTATTGAAGTTTACAGCCATTGATTCTATCATACCTCATTGGAGAGGGGGGCATAAGAGGATAGCCATATCACAATTGGAAACTAAATGGATAGTGGACATGAAGGCCCTATCCCCCCAAGGCCTGAACGTGGATCTAGATATAAACTGTTTCATAGATAACAGTTGATTTTAACATTTTGCAGGTTTTTATCTGATCAGTTTAATAACATTAATGTTTTTTTTATGGCCTGATGTGATTATCACGTGGGTTTTTGTAATATGTAGCGATGTAACCTCTGAGTTGTTTATACTCGTATAAGAGTGAACATTATCACCACATTATTTTATATGATCATTTATATTACTTGAAGTTTTTTGTGATTTTATTGTCCCATTTTATTTGTTTTTTAACCCATTATATTTGTAATGTTACTTTTTAGATTTATTGTGTATTTATAAACTGATTGTGTTATATTTATTGGGATGCCAATATATGTGCAGGAATGGTCAACATTTGCTGTACATGTGTATAAGGTGGGCATTGAGGATTTATGACAGGTGTCCTCAACAAAATGGATTCCGTTTGTCCATATTTGGGGACATGTGCCCTGCTTCCCTATATCCTCACAGGTAATCTGTTCCCACAGGTAATTTGTGGGGGTTTTTTAGCCAGTCTCCTTTCACTTTGTGGGCTACAATGCGGTTTGTGGCCCACAAAACATGTCCCCTTGTATTATGCAGCCTCCCGTTTATGGATGTGGCTGAAGGAGGGTACAGGTCTGTGGTGAGGGCAGAGCCAGCGGTGCACCTCGCGGTCCATACTGTTTCCAAGATGGCCACGGCGTGTGACGTCAATCGGGCACACGCGGCTCGTCGAGGATTGCGGGGGGACGGCTGAGGATGCAGCAATGTGCTTGTAGGATGCGCACTGGCTCCAAAATGGCCGCGGCGTGTGACTTCATTCGTGCATGCGCGGTTGCAACTAGCGGCGCGTGGCGGTAACTGCGCATGCTCGGCTATTTATATATAGGAAGTGTCATTTAGAGAGGATTCACCCCTTTGATAACGTGCGTTTCGCACGAAACATGTCAGGGGAATCCCCTATTTTGACGCTGTTTTCTTCCAGATGTTTGACTTCTATGCTTTTTGAAGGTTTGATGGAATAACCTCTTTACTGTTGTGCATGTGAGTGCCCTGCAATTTTTTTACAACCTTTGGATCTAATAAACGAGATTACACTATTAGTACCATTTTGCCTCCCGGGCTCGTTTATCTCGAGCTAACTAGGGAGGAGTGGATCCTGGAGTCTGAACGGCGGTGGACCTTCTGGTGTGCTTATGATGACCCCCAAGTGTGAGTGACACCATTCCTGGGAGTCTGCTACAGCCCTAGATGACGCCATTCCGGTGACCAGACCCCGAAGTCTCCACGGATTATTTACATACAACGCCCAGTTTGTATGTACTTCTGGTAAGTGCATTATTGTACTATCACCCTATGGAGTAACCAGGAGTATATCACATCACCTTGACCACTGCAATTTTGGAACGCTTTCTCATTAACAGGACTTCTAATTTGTTATATGAAAGAATAATTTATTTTGAGCATTTTGCTTGCACTTGATGGTCAATATAATTTTAGCGCTGCATTTCTTAGATTATATATAGTACTTGGCCACTGACTCACTTTCACCCTGTTCTTCTTCAGAAATGCAACCGTGGCCTTAGATGTGTGTTTTTGGATCATTGTCATGTTGAAAAAGTGCATGACGACCAATGGCACGGAGCGATTGTAACATCTTCTCTTTCAATATAGAGCTATTCGTCTGTGAATTCATGATGCCACCAATGAAATGCATCTCCCCGACACCAGCAGCACTCATGCAGCCCTACAGAAGAATACTGCCACCACCATGTTTCATTGTAGGCACCATGCATTTTTCTTTGTACTCCTCACTTTTGCGACACCATTCAGTTTTGAAGCCATCAGTTCCAAAAAACATTTATCTTGGTCGCATCACTCCAAAGCACAGAGTCCCAGTAGTCTTCTTTTTCAGCATGGGCCCTGGCAAATTCTAGGTGGGCTTTTTTGTGCATGAGCTTTAGGAGATTTAGGAGATGCTTCCTTCGTGGAAGACACCCATGCATGCCATTAATCTGCAGTGTATGCCGTATTGTGTCATGGGAAACAATCACTCTAGTTTGGCTGTCTACTTCTTAGGCTAACTGCAAGGTGATTTTTTTTCAACCTTTCTCATCAGAAGACACTCCTGTCGAGGTGTTAACTGGATGGCCTGGACATCTCTGTGAGATGGTTGCAGTTCGATCTTTGTTAAATGTTTGTATCACTTTTGCTACAGTATTCTGACGGATAAGTAAAGCTTTGCTGATCTTCTTGTAGCCTTCACCTTTCTAAAGCTTTGCAAAGAAATTATTTTCTTTCTCAGGCCTTGTGACATTTCTCTTCCGTGTGGTGCCATTGCTGACAGCATTAAATAGGAGGGGTTTTCTTTGTTAGGCAACGCCCATTTTTAAATCAACTGTCTGCTGGACACCTGTTTAATGAATAATTAGACTTACCTGTAGTTGAATTCTTGTTAATTAGGATTTTGTTGTATAAAATTTAGCTTTGCTCCTAAGATTTTCATTGGGGTGTATTCATTTTTGCAACATGGTCTTGAATGAATTTGTTAGGAAAAATACTTTTTTGTGTGTGCAAATTAACAAATCTTGTTTGCAATCAATGCCCCACCTTTGTGGGAGTATTTTGTAATATAGTGTCCCATAGAAAATGTTGATTCTGAAAGGAAAGTGAAGGTTTTCTGACAAATCTGTTAGGGTGTACTCATTTATGCTGAGCACTGTATATCTATCATAGAGTTCCCTTATTGTATAGTATCCACAAATGTTTACTAAAATTATTAAAGTGTAAAGATGTCCATAGCTGGGTAGAATTTTTGAACGAAAAGTCTTAGGAAAAGAATGTTCTCAGAAAGTTTTTGATTTTCTAATCATTAGGACATTAATTTTTGACTGCAGTGATGAGAAAATTCAAAGGAACAGGATGGAAAATTTTTCTAAGACAAACAAATTTATAACAGTGTCCCTGATTTATGTTTAGCAAAGTCCTTTCATTCCAAAATAAAATGTTAAAAGCAAACAAAATCTTTCAAACAACAGTCAAATGTTCTGAGAATTTTCATACAAATGTTTCTAAGAATTGTTGTTTGAAATTCTATCAATTTATGGCCAGCTTAAGTTTGAGCAAAATTAATGAATCATATTCAATACATGTCTGCAACACATTCGCATTTCTTTATGTCTGTGAATGTTCTCATTTATCCAGTTTATGGTATATCAAGTTGTGGTTAGTCACAGCCAGCTGGACTTGGTCTGAAATGCTGAAGATGTTTTGTACCTTATCAAACCACTTCTTCAGTTCCCAGAGAGTCAGGAAGATACCCCAGCATTTCCATTCGCACCTTAGGATACTTTAATCCAATCACCATGGAATGTGTAAATATTGATTGCCCAAGATCAGGATGGGAGGTATGAAAGTTGGGGTGCTATCCTGTCCCAGTTACATAACAACTTTGTTGGTGTCAGGAAGCCTTTTGTCAAATCACTAGAGTATAGATCAGGGGTAGGCAAACTTTGAGAGGTGAAGATCTACCTGAACAACATAAAAGAGATCGAATATCACCGGAGTTCAGTGCCATTAAAAAAAACAGAAATTAACTAGCAAGGCCTAACTAAATAGTAAGGGAAATATAGAAAAATATAATAAAACAAATGTCACTGTAAAAATACCAACTTAGCCTAATAGACAGTATCATTTAGTAGGGCAGTGGATGGTGTCAGTCAGTAGAGCAGTGGACAGTGTCAGTCAGCAGGGCAGTGGGCAGTGTCAGTAGGCCAGAGGTTGGTGCCAGTCAGTAGAGCAGTGGATGGTGTCAGTAGAGCAGTGAACAGTGTCAGTCAGTGTGGCAGTGGACAGTGTCAGTAGGGCAGAGGTTGGTGTCAGTAGGGCAGTGGATAGTGTCAGTAGGGCAGAGGTTGATGTCAGTAGGGCAGTGGATGGTGTACGTAGAGCAGTGGATGATGTCAGTCAGTGCAGCAGTGGACAGTGTCAGTAGGGCAAAGGTTGGTGCCAGTAGGGCAGTGGATGGTGTCAGTAGTTTTTATTTTTACAATTTTATTTTGTATTATTTATCAAATTTTTTTAGGAGCCCAATTGAAAGGGGAGTAATGACAGGAGGGGCAGCGGGGGAAGCGTTTATTAGAACTGATCCCCTGAATTTCCCTCTTACAGCAGTTCTACACTGGTGGGAGGGCTAGGAGGAGATGCTAGCTTTCAGCTGCTCCAGGAGGACAATAAAGGGGATCATCATAAGGCAGGTATTTTAAATATACAATACAAGCTGTATGCTGGGCACCAACATAAGACTGCTTAGGCAGCTGCCATAGGGCACTAGGATAGTTAGGCAGAAAAATCCCAATCCCCAGCCACTTGCTGGGAATTCAGATTTTTAAAATACCTGTCCATGGGATGGGAAAAGGACGCTTTTTCAGGGCTACAGGTCTCTGCTATGGGAGAAAGAGGGAGCAGAGGACACTACTGTGGTGGGGGGGTGGGGTGATGTGAAGGGCAGTAGATGACACTGCTCTTGGGGGTGGCCCTGCAGTGACCTCTGGCCCCCTTCCCCCCAGACAGCAATGTCCTCTGCCCCCCCCCTTCCCTCCCAAAGCAGTGTTCCAAGCAGTATCCTACCTTTGTACAGAAGAGAGTCGAAAGCAGCACAGTTCTGGACTGACAGTGTCTTCCCCCTTCCCCGAACCTCATCTGCTGCTGCTGTCATGCTCACTGCAAAAGGGGAGAGCGAAAGGCAGCCCTGCTCAGGATGGAGGATGGGAGGAGGAGCTGGCCAAATTAACATTTCATACTAACAAGCTGGTAATTGGTTGCTAGGACCGACATAGCAGCCAATCACCTGCGGGTTAATATGAAAAGTTAATTTGGCCAGCTCCTCTTCTCGCCCTCCGTCCTGAGCAGTGCTGCCTTTCGCTCTCCCCTGTGCACTGAGAATGACAGCAGTGGAGAAGGCTGGGGGCAGGTTGGAGAGGAACCAACACCTAAAAGGTTGGGACCTGTTCGCAGCCTACCTGTCACCTGCATGTGGTTGACAGGTAGACTGCGATTGACAGGTTGCTAACCCCCGAAATGGCATTGCATGTGGAAGAAAGATGATTTTACCATCTCTACCCCAGATGTGACTTTATATAGATTTACAGGTGTATGTTGTGCCCAGGTTGCAGCAGCACTATTGCAGATGACACCAAACAATGTAGTAGAATAACATCCTTACAGGATGTCTTTAACTTACAAGCTGACCATAATGCACTGTTTAATTGAGCTACTATGTGGCAAATGAGATTTAACATTGATAAATTTAAAGATATGCACTTGGGGGTTAAAAACATGCATGCATCATAAATTCTGGGAGGAGTAGAACTGCAGGAGTCAATAGTACAGAAGAGAAAGATTTGAGTGTTTTGGTAGATCATAGACGGCTCAAATTTCAGCAGGTAGTGGCTGAAATTCGAACTTTGTATGGCCAGATTGAATGTACCCAAGTGATTGATCAATCAACTTGGGTACAACATGCAATTATGGCTAGTGGCATTTTTAGCCACTAGCAATAATCACTGTCTTTCTCCTGGTGGGGATGGATTCCCCCACCCCAAGGTGGGAGAACAAAATGGCTCAGCGGGAGGGATTCCCTTGTCAACACTATCTGTGTTGATGGGGAAATTGAGCTAAATTCTTTCATGCAACCATTGGTTACAGGGGAGAAATTTGCACCGTCTATGGCCTTCCTAACTTTAAATATTGAGATGTTCACTTTTTGGAGGCGTAATGTTTAAGAAAGTTGAAATAATCAAGAGAAAACACTCACCTGTATAGAAAACCTACCATCTTCTATTCGTTCAGCAGTGTTACCTGTAACATTTGTATAACCATCAATTTGATATTAATTTGCAGGTCTCTGGGGCCTGGTGAATAATGCAGGCATTGGTATTCCAGGAGGCACCAATGAATGGCTTTCTAAAGATGATTTCTTAAAGGTTATAAATGTAAATCTACTGGGTGCCGTGGATGTGACACTTCATTTCTTGCCCTTGATCCGAAAAGCAAGAGGGAGAATCGTCAATGTAAGCAGTGTGGCTGGTAGAATCAGTATCTGTGGTGGAGGATACTGCATATCAAAATATGGAATAGAATCCTTTTCAGACAGTCTTCGGTGAGACATTATACTTTTTTTTTTAATGTTGTCCACCATTTTATGAAAGTATTTTCACAGTCATATTTCCCAATTGTTTTTGGCAGCAATTTTATATAGGGCCTTTTAATGAAAAAAGACAATGTAATATGTCTGGTCATATGTGCAATGGTGCAGAAGCTTATTTTTCATTTGGGAAAGCATGTGACAGGGTAATTTACATGCAAGAATTTGTCATAGAAAGGGACAGAATGCTGTCACCCCATACCTTCCCAAACAAGGACCTTAATATCAGTATCACCGGTTGTTAAAATTCATTTGGCATTTTAGTAGTTGGCTTTATTTTAAGTACCTTTGCTTGAATTTGTTGAATTGCAGTGATGGGGTACATTTTACATTACATTTCCCCATTTTTTTTAGATTATAACATTAAGCTTTGGATGTTTAGAGCACTTCAAGCAGTTGTTGCTGTCAGTCCATCCAAGTGCTTTTTTTTTTTTTGCATCATTTGAAAAAAAAAATAAGTGCAAGAACAGTATATATTTTAATCAGCTCCCATGATATCATTCACACTCTGTTATTCCCAAAGAGAAAATAAGGCCCCTTCCACACGAGGGGTCCAATTAGGTCTTCCTTTCATTTTTTCAAACGCACCTGATTGGACAATCCATTCACCCCTATGGACCTACCTCCAATCTGATCCAATCTGATAAAAAAAAGGAAGGGGATCTGTCCCCTCCATCTAGGTGGATCGGAGGGCAGTTGGGTGTAAACGGACAGCGGAATCCATTTAGACCTGGCCATTCACAGAGCAGAGCGTGCTCTGTCCATGTCCGCTCTGCATAGATTGAGCAGACACGGACCTGTCATCCGCCTACTCTGCTCTGATCAGCAGGGGATCAGCAGACAGATCTCCTGCTAATCAAATTGGAGCCCACCCCATGTGAAAGGGGCCTATATCATACACAGATTTGGCCTGTTATCGCTAAAGAAAATTGTCCTGATGCTGGTCAGTGTTACTACACTGTATCATCTGTGGTATCTTAATTTTTTTTTTTAACAAACTTGTTTGTTGCCATAATGTTAGGTAAATGAAAATAGTCAGTATGACTTAATAGAACAGGACTCAAATCATATATTTAGAAAGTGTTCACAAAACAGTAAGTTATTCAGTAGATGTCTGAACAAAGTTAGGCTTTACACAATGAGCAGCATAAACAGAATTTTTTTTCCTTCTACAACATAAAGGTGATTCTAGCAAAGGGTTGGATTGTATAACAAAGTCAGCCGGTGCATTCTCATCAAACTTTTCATCTTTGTCAAGCACGAGAGTATTGTGAGCCTTGACAATCAGAAAATATTCATGAGCTTTGATCTGCTTGGCTGCAATGAGATTGCCACAACTAAGTTAGCTGGAGAGAAGACCTTCTTCTTTGGCATCCACTTCTATCCCCTTTAGATTTTGGAGTTTTGTTTTTTTTTGTGGAATATCTTTCCAATGCATAACTATAGCAAGATCATTCCATCAGTATACATGTCTCTGGCAGGAGGAAAAGGCTGTCCTGCCGTTAACTGAAGATGTAGGACCACTTGTAAGAATTTCACTTACAGTCATGCCATTCCTATCCACTGTATTAGCTTAACCACTTCCCATCCGGCCCATGTTAATAAACGGCCGGATGGGAGCATTGCAGGAGTGGGTGGCCGTTTATAAACGTCCTTCCCGCTTCCCTGCCTGTGTGCGCTCCCTGGGAGCGCGCGGCATTGATCTCTGTACGGGACCTCTGTGTGAGGTCCCAATCATGTGATCACTGATTGGCCAATCAGTGATCACATGAATAGTAGTAAGCAAGATGTCACTTCTGACATCATTGCTTACTACTAGTGAAATCTGTGAATGATCACAGAGGTCACATGGTACAAGGCCATTCACAACAGCCTTGTACCATGTGTCAAGCTGTGACCATTCACAGCTCACACAGTATTTCTAAATAGCTGCAAGAATGCAGCCAGAAAGAAGGAGAAATTATTGCTTTTACAGCCTTTATAGGTGTAAAAGCAATCAGTGTAAAAAAAAAATAAAAATCTTCCTCACCCCCCACAAGTAGTACAGTGTCACTATGATGACACTGTACTGTTAGGGTGACAGTATGTTAAAAAAAAACATAAATAATAATATAAAAAAAATAAAAATGTAAAAAAAAATTTGAAAAATTATAATTTTTGGTTATAAACTAATTTGGGTTATTTTTTTCTTTTTACTAAAAAGATAGCTGAATACATTTTTGGCAAGATTTATGAAGAAAGATTATTTATTTGCAAAATTTTTATAAGAAAAACTTTTTTTTTCAAAATGTTTGGACTTTTTCATTTATATAGCAAAAAAATAAAAATCCCAGTGGTGAATAAATACCACCAATATAAAGTTTTATCTGTCTCAAAAAAATGCTAAAAAATTCATATGGGTACAGTGTTGCATGACCACAAAATTATCATTCAAAGTGTGATAGCGCTTAAAGCTGAAAATTGGCCTGGACAGGAAGGGGGTGAAAGTATCGCGACTTGAAGTGGTTGAATAGGGCAAGGACAGCCTTATTAAATGACAAAGATTTTAAAATGCCACATCTGTAAATGGTGTAAAGAAAAATTAAAACAAAAAATGGCTGGGTCTGGAACAGTGTTTGGCTATCAGCACTATCAAAGCTCAGGTTTCTGTCCTTTCTATCGTGTTTGAAAGACTGTTGGCCTCTTGTTCCTTTTAACAGTAAAGCAAATATGTGGTTCCATCAGCATGTGGTCTCTGCATCCATGCTGCAGCATCCTTTGTTGCAGGAACTCACCTGCTGGTTTATATAGCACCTACAGGATAAGTTCCCACCTTGTCAAATTCATTATTTAGCTGTGCTCAGGCTAACACCTGTTGAATGAGCATTCTGTTCACTTCCTTGTCCAATTCCATGTTATTTCCTGCATTCCTGTTTCTCCATTTACCACAGCTTGTATCTGACTAAACTTGTTTGCCACCTACCCTGACCTTTTTCCTGTTCCTTTTTCTGATATTGCCTGTTGATTGTGTACCATGTCTGGTTCTATTCCTGTCATCTATCGTTTGCACAAGTGCATCCAATGGTCACCATCTAGTACACCCACCATTAAAATCTGTCACTCCTTGCAAAATGCTCCTGTGAAGATCTATTTACTAAAACTGAAGAGTGCAAAATCTGTGGCTATGCATAGAAACCAATCAGCATCCAGTTATTATTGCCAAAGGTTAATTGAACAAGCTGAAGTTAGGCGCTGATTGGCTATTGTGTACACCTGTACCAGATTCTGAGCGCACCAGTTTTAATAAATCCCTTTGTGCCTCTACTATTTTATGGGCTCACGCTATCACCCACACAAAGAAAACACAGAGGGTCCACTGTCCATTTTTTCTGCTACAATCTGGTTCCATTCCTGTTCAGCTGCCATTTTTATAGGTGTGTCTGAGTGCCGAAACCTTGTAAACCACTAGTAAAATCTATTACTCCTTGTGGGGTGCTCTGGGGAAGTTCTGGTGTCTGTGCCTAGACCCTGCACCTTGTCACACCCTCTCCACCATGCAGTAGTCCACCATCCATTTTTCTTTGACACTCTAATTCTTTTTGTTCTTCAGAAACTGCATTATTAAACCATTAGAGTCATTGCTTTCTCTACTCTCACCTAAAAGGTGTTGTTCCTTGTGACCAATGTCATCACATCTATCAACTGAATGTTATAATTTTTTTGGGGGGGGGGTTCTTTTTTTGCTGCAAGGCAATAGACTCATTGTCATTTTATTCATCTGACTTCTCATGTTGTCTCCAAGAATGACAAAACCTTTTTCTGGCTCTGAGGGTTAGGCCAGGTCGTGATGGCCTCGACCCTCAATCTCTCAGCATTCAATGTGCCTTCTTCTACCTGCTTGTCCCAAGTACTAAGACTTCTATCATGCCCATCTGACACCTACTGGGTTTGATTCTTAGATTAGCTGCTGCCTATTTGTCCAGGACTTGTAACAGGTATGGTGAGGAACTTTTAACAGTTAGGGTTAAACACTGCAATGTCATCCAGGTAGGCAACTCAGAATGCTTCCAGCCCTTCTAGCAAGTCATCCATGACTCCCTGAAAGATAGCCAGCGCATTCTTTATCCCAAACCGCAATATTGTGAACTCATATAATTAAAATGGGATGAATAAGGCTGAATTTTCCCAAGCCTCAGGTGCTAAATAAATTTGCCAGTATTATCTGCTCAGGTCTAAAGTTGTTAGTTAACAGGTGGGTGCCAGCTAATCCATCCATGGACCCTGGGCATGTAGTAGACATCAGCAGTAGTGATTGAATTCCACCTCCTATATTCCTTGCAGAACATGGTCATCTGATCCCTTCTGTGAACAGGACTACTGGTAACAACCAGGCACTGTGGGACTTCTGAATGACCCCTAACTGCAGAATTTACTCAGTCTTCTTATTAAAGCAGAACAGGACACATCACAGATCCCAGGAGGCTGCAGGACCATTCAGGAAGTGTGGGCAGTGGGGAGCCGACTGTGAAGCCACAAGGAGTCACAGCTGGCTTCCCATAGTTACCATGGTGGCACAGGAGACCCAAAGACTGGTAAAGAACTGGTCTGGCTGAACACAGAGCTGGATCCCTGGGCTGGCAAGTGTCTTTTTTATCAAATGATTCCTGCAAACATTTCCAGCTGCCGAGTTTCCTGTGTGAATTGATCCTGTTGTCTGTTCCCACTTCCCAAGTGTTAGCTAACAAATCTAATAATGGGTCTGTCTCTTCAAGTTAAGGTCAGCTACAAACCAACATTACTGCTGTCTTGCTGTCCTTTCATGGTATGTTTTGAGCATGTTCACAGCTTTCTATCATCTCTCTTTTCCTAAACTTACCAAATAGGTGACATTATTGAGGCATTTTGTGACTGACCCTTACTATGCTGTCTGTAGTATGTTCTACCACATAGGGAGAAGAAAATACAACTTATGTCCAATATTGTAGGCCTGCTTTCTGGCATTACAAATAAACCAGCATTTATGCTTTCCTAAGCCTGCATCATGTTCTCCAGCATTATCCCTACCAGTCCTGAAACCTTATGGGACACTTCTATGGGACTTTTGCTTTATTTTTATAGAGTAACATTTCTATAGCTTTTAGATCTGTTGTGGTTGCTGCTTCCAATTTAGGCCTATTACTGCTGGATAAAAAAATCAGGTGCAACAGCCAAAAATCTAAAAAAAATTATTTTTTCAAGTTCCAATGAATCAGATTGGGATGCTGTTGCTGTATTTAAGCCAGGTAGTAATGTAACATTAAAACACTCAAATACACGTGTAAAATAGGTGGTGCCATAATATGGTTTCAATGATGCTGGCCTGTGAGAATAATACTTTTCCAAATTCCCTTTGAAGTCACATTAAAATGTAAGCCCTCATCCCATTATACAGTTTTTTTTGGATTTATTTTGCACTTGTACATTTCCCCCATGGTAGTGCCCTCATGCCCTTCTTTACAATTCCTTGCATATTATCTGATCAGAACTGAATTTTTAAATATTCACTCTGAAGACTTCAATAAGGTTTGGATTTATGTTTGAAATTTTAATGAACACCCCCTGAACTGGACCCAGACACATTTGCTCATCTCTGCTGGGCACTACCAGGGTTCTTTGGCCTAAGTGTCCTTCTCATTTGTAGCTTTCTCACTTATATAAACCAATTCCAATTCTGTTTGCTGTCCTCCACAATAAACCATAGAGAAGTGCAGGTACATAGACAAAAAGGTGAGAGCGGTATGCAGAAAAAAGATGTCTCTGTTATTCTTCAGTCTCTTTTACTTACCTGTTTTTACAGAAGTGTTGTAGTAGAATGGTTTTTTTATGGTGTTTTTTTTAGGAATGAAATGCGTCCATTTGGAGTAAAAGTGTGCATAATTGAACCTGGATTTTTCAGTACACAAATAACCAACACAGAATTACAAAAAGAAAATATAAAACGCTGCTGGGAGAAAACCTCTGAAGAAGTCCGACAAGCCTATGGAGAAGAGTATTTTAGAAATGGTGAGTGAAACTACCCTATACTCCTTAAAAATTAGTTTCAATCAAGCTTTAATCGCCATAATATATTAGTAGGAATAGCAGCATGATTATGCCATGTGCGCAGATGTTCCCAGCCTTTGGGTCTTGGAAGAGTCCTTTGGCACATTTGCACACATGAAAGTAATTTTGAACGGATGCATGAAAATGGCGAAGATTAGGGAGTTCACTAATATTCATCGCTGCCCATGATTCCATGATTCTGTAGATGGACGGGGGACTTACTTAGGAAGCCCTGCAGAACTCCTGTACCAATTGAAAGAGAAGGAGGGAGGAGGAGGCAGGGCAACATGACAAATACTTTGGGGTAAAGGTCTGCTTTACGGTCCATATATTTAGTACAATATTAGGAATCGTATGGAGAAGGACTAACATGGAGAAGGAAATTTTTATTCAGAATAGTGAGCAAATCGACCTCAAACAATAGTGTGCATAACCTGCAAAGGTTATTCAAACAAATGATCATTTATACTTTAAGCCTGAACTTCAGGGAAATATAAATGATACATTTTAGCACTTCTTTATTCATTAATACTACAATAAATGTGTTCTTTAAATGCAAGCAATGAAAATACCTGAATTTCATTTGGTATCTGCCTTTTGCAGCCCCTGTATAGTTGAGAAGGCAAAGCAACAGTCATCGTGTTGGACATGCTCAAGACCACTGATACGCCCTGTATGGGGCTCAAGCCCCATCAGTTCAAAAGGGGAGTCCAGGCAGCTGGCAAGCAGAAGGAAGGGGAACCTGGACAGGAGGGGCAGTGGGATATTATTTATTGGAACCAATCCCCTGTAGTTTCCCCCGCAGCAACTAAGCCGGCTTCTCCTCTCCCTCCTGCTAGATTTCAGCTGCAGTATGGGAGAACTATAGGGGATCAGCTCCAGTAATTGCCACGCTCACCGCCCCTCCTGTCCAGGTTGCTTGCTTCTGTTGTTTAGGTTCCCTGTATGCTCCCCTGGTCCTGCCCCTGCTGCTGTGGGGGATTGTTTCAGGATAGAGAGCGGAGAATGGATACAGTGAGTGATTAGGCTCATTCAAATGGGTTCCCTGGCCCATACAATGTAAATGAGTTTGATTGTGTGGCTGGAGCCACCTGCTACTTGTTCGAACACAGCCACACATCTCCATTTTGACAGGTGTGCACACTGTCTGTGTTTAGGGCTGAACACCTGCACCTACACGCCTGTCAAATTAGGACCTGTGTTCATACAGCTGCTGCATTCCCGTAGCTGTAGAGGCCACAGCACCTATGTGAATGAGCCCCAAGATCTTATTAACCCAATACAGATTTTTATTTAAGATATAGCAGGAATTTCGTAATTTATGTTGTGTGTGTGTGTCCACGTATTATGAATTTATTGTATTTTTAGCAAAAATATCATTTTGATTTTTGAGCGGGGCAAAGGAGCCCCGTCAGATAGATAGTACAAAGCCCATGAGAGTGAGCCACAAGACCTCATTCACACACAGAGCTTTGTTTGTTAACTCAACACAGTTCTATATTTTAGATTTAGCAGGAATGATCTTTTCGAGGGCGTGGGGCTGTGATTTCCAACAGCGGCCCTGGACTCATCAGTCTGAGCTTCCCTTAGGGGCCATATTAAACCTCTATGATAACTGGAAGTGCTTATTATACACAGAGGAAATTTTGCAACTTTTTTGAAAATATTTGTGACTGAATGTGACTATACGGAGAAAAAGAAATCACGTGTCAGAATACATACATAATGCATGCCCAGGTTTGTCTCAGGTTCAGGCCTATGCAATACTGAAATATAAATCCAAAGGAATTACACAGGCAAATTAAAAAATATAAGTTGAACTCCAGGCTAATTCAACCCCTGGCAAAAAGTATGGAATCACCACACTTGAAAAATGTTCATTCCATTGTTTAATTGTGTAAAAAAAAAAACTAATCACAGACATGCCTCAAAACTATTTTCATGTAACATTTCAACCTTCTGGTTTTAAGAAATACTTAAAAAAAGAAAAAAGAAATAAAACTGTAGTCAATTGCAACTGTTTTTGCACATCAAGCAGAGGAAAAAATATGGAATCACTCAATTCTAAGGAAAATATTATGGAATCATGAAAAAAACACTACAGTACACCACTAGTATTTTGTTGCACCACCTCTGGCTTTTATACCAGCTTGAATTCTCGGAGGCATGGATTTAACTATCGACAAACAGTATTCTTCATCAATCCAGCTCCAAATTTCTCTAACCCTAGGTTGACACTTACCGTATTTGCCGGCGTATAAGACGACTTTTTGACCCTTGAAAATCTTCTCAAAAGTCGGGGGTCGTCTTATACGCCGGTATACGGCATACTGACACTTTTTAGGGGGGCGGCGCAGTGCCGCCGCCGCCCCCCCCCCCTTCCAACGGAAGGGACACTAAGTACAGGGGTGGGCAGGGGCTGCTGTCTCTTACCTGGCTCCGGTCCCACGACGATCCGGTCCAGGAAGCGCGGCTGCTCCTTCAGTTCGGCCACTGGATGTTCGCGCGGCTGCTCGGCTCCGCCTCCTCACTGGTGATTGGCCGCCAGAACTGTAGCTCAGGAAAGGCACACAGGCGGCCAATCACCGGCGAGGGGGCGGAGCCGAGCAGCCCCATGAAAATCGAGTGCAGGAGCAGCAGGTAAGTGTGCCGTGTAGAGGTGCTGCTGCAACCACATATGCTGGCTGCAGCAGCACCATACTAGAACAGTGTCAGCAAGTGTCATTGGTGTCAGTGGGAGGAATAGTGCTCCATCACTGATACCAATGATGGGGCACTATTCCTCCCACTGACACCAATGATGGGGCACTATTCCTCCCCACTGACACCAATGATGGGGCACTATTCCTCCCCACTGATACCAATGATGGAGCACTATTCCTCCCACTGACACCAATGATGGGGGACTATTCCTCCCCCCACTGACACCAACAATGGGGCACTATTCCCCCCCCCCACTGACACCAATGATGGGGCACTATTCTACCCCCCCCTGACACCAATGATGGGGCACTATTCCACCCCCCACTGACACCAATGATGGGACACCATTCCTCCCACTGACACCAATGATGGGGCACTATTCCCCCCACTGACACCAATGATGGGACACTATTCCTCCCACTGACACCAATGATGGGGCACTATTCCCCCCACTGATACTAATGATGGGTCACTATTCCTGCCACTGATACCAATGATGGGGCACTATTCCTCCCACTGACACCAATGATGGGGCACTATTCCCCCCAGTGATACTAATGATGGGGCACTATTCCTCCCACTGATACCAATGATGGGGCACTATTCCTCCCACTGACACCGATGATGGGGCACTATTCCTCCCACTGATACCAATGATGGGGCACTATTCCTGCCACTGATACCAATGATGGGGCACCTATTCCCCCCACTGATACTAATGATGGGGCACTATTCCTGCCACTGATACCAATGATGGGGCACTATTCCTCCCACTGATACCAATGATGGGGCACCTAATCCCCCCACTGATACTAATGATGGGGCACTATTCCTGCCACTAATACCAATGATGGGGCACTATTCCTCCCACTGACACCAATGATTGGGCACTATTCCTCCCACTGACACCGATGCTGGGGCACTATTGCTCCCACTGGTGTGCATTGGAAGAGGGGTAGTCTTATACGGCGAGTATAGCCCAAACACTACATTTTAGCAGGAAAAGTAGGGGGTCGTCTTATACGCCAGTCGTCTTATACGCCGGCAAATACGGTAAGTGTTTTCTGCAGCATTTTGCAGAAACACAGTACAGTCCATTTAACATGATTTCCTATGGGACATGTTCACATCTGTGCGTTTTCTCCCGGTGCGGTTTTTATTTAACGCAAAAAGTTATTCTATAGCCTTCAATGGAAACGCTGCAGAAAAGCATGTATTGTGTTTTTTCTGAAAATTTGGCTACGTTTTTGCCGTGTTTTTGATGTGTTTTGTGTTTTTAAATCTGCCTAGCAGAAAAATAAAAAAATATTAAAAATAATGCAGGTGCAAAAACGCAACACAAAACACAATACAGAAACGGCTCAAACGCAACCTGCATAGGTGTGAACCTAGCCTTAATGCAGTTGCCAGAACCTGGACAGGAGGGGCTTTGCAAGTTGGAGCCTTGTTATGAGTATCTTCTTTCAGTCACACCATAGATTTTCAATTGGATTGAGGTCTAGACTATTTGCAGGCCATACCATTGACATACTATGCCTTTCTTGAAGGGTTGTGCCCTATGGCAAGATGCATTATCATCCTGAAAAAGTATATCATCATCACTAATCATCCTTTCAATTGATGGAATAAGAAAAGTGTCCAAAATCACAATATGAACTAGTGCATTTATTAAAGATTTAATGACAGCCATCTCCCCCATACCTTTACCTGACATGCAACCCCATATCATCAATGATTGGGAAAATTGACATGTTTTTTATTCTGTCAGTCGTCTGTATACATAGTGCTGTCAATTTACACAGCGCTTTACATATATATTACATTCACATCAGTCCCTAACCCTCAAGGAGTGTACAATCTAAGGTCCCTAACTTACATCCATACATACACATACTAGGCCAATTTAGACAGGAGCCAATTAACCTACTAGCATGTCTTTGGAGTGTGGGAGGAGACCGGAGTACCCAGAGGAAACCCATGCAAGCAAAGGGAGAACATGCAAACTCAAGGCAGGTGGTGCCATGGTTGGGATTCAAACCAGTGACTACAGTATTGCCAAGCAGAAGTGCTAACCAGCCACAGGGAGAACATGCAATCCCCAGGCAGGTGGTGTCGTGGGATTTGAACCTACAACTCTAGTACTGCCAGGGGGAAGTGCTAACCATTTAACCACTGTGCTGCCTAGATGTTTGTTTTAGAACTGCAGAATACATGGTGATTCCATAATATTCTCCTCAGAATTGAGTGATTCCATATTT